GCTTCGGCCGGGGCCGAGGCGAGTTTTGTGAAACACACAGTAAGCACCCTTTCTCTTGAATCGTCGTACTGGATACTCGAGCAAGCAAGCTCCACCTCGAGCTGAAGCTCACAGCCCTGTAGCCCAATCATTGAACATTCCCCTGAGCTCTGAAGCCGACATGTACATGTGCATATACATATATCATAAGTTCATTGTGTTCGTTCGTTCGTTCATTCATTCATTCATTCATTCATTCATGCATTCATTCATTCACGCATTCGTTCATTCATTCATTCATTCATTCATTCATTCATTCATTCATTCATTCATTCATTCACTCATATACATATATATATAGATTGACTGATTGGCATGTTGCATGCTTGCACATGTATTTGCATGAAGACGTCTGCCTTCAGGAACTTGTTCATGCAAGACGTGCCCGTCGCCACGATTCAAACTCTGCGACTCCTTCGGTCAGTCGATGCCCGGGTCTGGCGATTGGGTGAGGAGCCGTTTGAGAGACGTGTTTTGGTTGTGCTCAAGGTTGCAAAGCTAATATGTCTTCGCTGGAGGGTCTGAGAGTCAGAAAGGCCTAATTTGTTCAGCACGTCTTCAGAGAGACGGATGGCGTGTAAATTCGTGTTGTAAGAGATTCGGTAAAGCTCAGGATCGTGCAGCGTCGAGGTTCGCTTTGTTGCGTCTTCTGGTGGTTCATTAGTTGTGTTACGCTCTTCCTGCTAATGTGTCTTGTAAACGCATTCGGCATAACTGGCTCTGTCGCTTTCAATCTGAAGCCACGGCTTTGGCATTCAGGCGGGTCAAACTTAGGCGTGGTGTGTCCCTACACAGATGCCTTCAAAGGTGCCCGGCAGATGTGGAAGGATACTTTCCTATCAGGCTGCGTTTAGTTTTCTGAAATGCTCCGAACATCCGTCATGCTGAGAGGAGCTCTGTGACGTCCGTGTTTTGGTCCAGGGCCACACGCCCCGACGAAGGCGTGGAAATAGGCTCGTCAGACCAGGGCTCTGTGCTTGGAACCCAGGAGATTCTTTTGGGTTTTTTTCAGGAGAAATCGAAGCTTCGGGAGGCTTCTGGTCGTAGCTAGACCGACCGCTAGACTGCTAGATGCCCTTACTTCCAGAATGTTTTGTGCTGATGTTCGTAGAATCCCAAACGCCCAATGCCCTTGAAAAACAGATGCACATGCACTGGAGATATCTGACTGCAAACGTCTAGCCAGGACTTCATGCCTGCACTCAAGGCCTTTGAACAACTTCCATTTCAAAAAAAGTTTAATTAGCACAGAAGAGCAAGACACACGTAAATTTCACCACCAGCACCACCAGCACCACCAGCGCCACCAGCACCACCAGCACCACCAGCACCACCTGCACCACCAGCACCACCTGCACCACCGGCATACATCACCAGCAGCATCATCAGCAGCAGCAGCAGCAGCCTCAACATCACCATCGCCAGTGCCACCATGATCAACGTGGTGATGAACATGATCATGATGCAACAAAAGCACGATTCCTCCGCTCATGGTAGGCCCAGGGTGATTTTCTCAGGCCTGCCAGTTCATGTCTGAAGCACCACAAACTCGCGGTACCAAGAACATGCTCTTAGGCTCCTCCCTTCCCCGCAGTGCTCTGCGCCCCCTTGTTTAGAAATACTGCTTTTTTCTCGGGCACGAGGATGCAGATGTAGTCAGAACAAGTTCTGGCTGGGATGGCACAAGCCTGGTATGTCCTGCTGCAACTATGGTTTTGCATGCTCAGTTCTGAAACTTACGGCATCGCTGCCGAACTTGCCGCGTCCTTCCCGTTCTTCGACGTCACAGGGATTCCACGAAAGTGCCGGTACAAGAACATGTCGATCATTTCACCAGCGGAGTTTGTAGACAAGTCTCATGATGTCTCTCTTGGCTACCCAGTTGCATATCGTAGCATCGTGCGCTGGCTTGCTTTGAGCTTGACCGGATCACTACGGCCAGATCGAAGGGAGTTCCCATACGCACGGCGTTTCTGTGGAAGCGACCATCCACTGAACCACGGTTACACGATGGTTGGTATGCTCCGGATGCAGAACGTGGCTCAATTGGTGCTGAAAGTGGTTCAGCATGCTATCCCAGGTGGCTTTGTTGAGGCCGGTGTTTGGAGGGGTGGCACCTGCATTTTCGCCAAGGCTCTCTTCAACCTACTCGGGGAAGTCGGACGTGAGGTCCATCTCTTTGATGCCTTTGAAGCTATGGATACATACGGAAAGAAGGCAGAGCGGCTGCGTGTCGACTTGGAGTCGGTGCAGAAGAACTTTGAGCTTTTTGGGGTCCAGGATGAGAGAGTAAAGTACCACCAAGGCTTGTTTAAGGAGACGATGCGCCGGTTCTGGCAAGACTATTCCAAGTCTGACCAGAAGATTGCCATTTTGCGCATCGACGCCAACTTCTACGATTCGCATCAGGATGCTTTGTATTATTTGTACAACTTCGTCCCGGTCGGTGGTTATGTAATTTTCGACGACCTTTTTAGCTTGCCCGATGTCGGACGCGTTTGGAGGGAGTTTCGGCAGGACCAGAATCTTACAGAAAGGATCATCCGAATCGACCGACATAGCGGCTACTTCAAGAAGACAAGGATGGTTCCTGTGAACTTCAAGAAGATGAGAGCTTCGAGAGCTGAGACGCCGTCCTGGGCACTCTAAGCTGGCGTCAGCCGTGCACTTGCAAAATCAGCTGTCGGGTTCGTGATTTGCAAGTATCGCTTCAAAGGTAAGTTTAGCAGGAGGAGCAGTGTGGCAATGTTAGCAACTGTCGTTATCAGGTCGGAAAAGCTGGAGCAGCAATCCCGAAACGCAACTGAAAGGCCAAGCCAGAGTTGCTGCTGGCAAGAACTGCGAACTTGTCGAAACCACTTTGACCTTGGGAGGATGCATTCAGGGTTGGCGCAAGAGTGTGTAATCTAGTTCTAGACGAAGTGACTCGGAGTTCCGACCATTTGGGAAGTATATCTGTGATAAGTTCTCCGTTTCCTGGGCTCGCCGCAGGTGAGGCATCGCGGAGTGCTGAGGCTGCCACCTGAAAAAGCAAGCGACCGCTTCGGGTTCACTAGCCGTTTTACTGCGGGCAAACGCCATGGTTACATCAGGGCAACCGCACCAGCTCTGAGCCTTTTGAAGTTTCTGAAAAGTCGCGCCGCCAAAGGCGTTTCAAGTGTTTAATTTCACCTTGCTCCCGAGCGAGTACGCAGAAGAAGTCAGTGGCAAGCCAGGGTGCTTTCTGAGGGCTTTTGCTGATTGAACACTTCTTCGGCATTCAAGTGGATGAGACTAACGGGCCTGAGGTTAAGCTTCGGCTGGCTCGCGGCCTCAGTCAGCATCTTTGTAGGCGTGTGCGCAAGTTTGATTCGAAGATCTTCGAAGCTCTTCCCACACGGGGACTACCAGTATCTGCTACCCGCCTTCGGCCACGATAGCCCGGACTACCGAAGCCCAAAATTCCAGAGCCCGAATCCAACCGCGCTCGTGGCTTGCAGTGTGCAGCTTGCACAGTTTCCCCTTTGCCTCTTGTGTGCCGGCATTGTTCCCCTGCATGATGCACAAGGTGCCTGCCCTGGATGTATTGGGGCAAGGGCATTCGGCAGGGGTTGGCTAGGAGTGAAGCATAGGCCTGCAACCTGCTTGCATCGAAACTCAAAAATCTGAGTTCTCGGCCCTGTGCACAGAAGGACATCGGACCTCTCGCGGATGAGTTTGCTTGCTGCGCTTCGGGCCTTGTGTTTGAATTTCATGGTAGTCTTTGTCACATGCGGCTTGGGGTTAGGATCGTGACCGTGCTGACGAGCCGTCTAGTACAAGAGTCCCCGAAGCTAAGACCGCCCCTGCCCAGGTGTTCTGCAGGACTCTGTCCACGCCCATCCAGCCACCAGCTCAGAATCTGCAGATCTTGGAGTTCCAGTCGTGACCACCGTTTTCTTGGTCGTCAGATTGGCAGCTGCGCGCTGTGGTTGAGCAAGTCTCCGATGTTCGACTTGAGCTCTGCGACAAGGCGCCGCGCCTTCTCGCAAAGCGCCATCGTGAGCACTCTCCAGTCAAAGATCAAGGTGGCCTGCCTTGAGAGGGGGCTGCACAAAGCACAGCAAAGTGTCGGTGAAGCTGCAAGCCAGCTGCCGGAACATGAAGGAACATGTAGGCTTACCATAGGGAGATAATTGTTTCAAATCTTTTTTGAGGGTCTGCGCAGCTTGACGGCTGTCGGTCCACGACATCTAGCAGCCGATAGAAGTGATATGAAGTGATCCTCGCAGGGTGGCAACATGTGGCAACATGTGGCAGCGTGTAGTATTCCGGATGTTAGATGAACCCCAAGCCTGTGTAGAATTTGTTGAGAGCAGAATTTGTTGAGAGCATGAAAAGCACAGGGCCGACATGACTCAAAAACTCTGGCAGCAGCACTGCAGCCAGAAAAGACTCCTGAAGGTGAAGACCCCAGCGACGAATCAAGTGATGCCGTGTTGCGCTGTCGCCCGAAAGCTTTGTTGGTGCTTCACTGGAGGGTGTTCCAAGGTGCGTGTGGTGGACGACTGAGAGGGTACACACACACACAGAGACAGAGAGACAGACAGAGACAGACACACACACACACACACACACACACGCACTTTGGCTCGGCACGAACTGATGC